GCTCCCCTCTCCTGGGCGGCTTGGCTCTGCTCAGAGCCCGATCCTGCAAAACCCGGGCTGGGGGCGGGAGTGGAGCTGGAGCGCCCGCCCGCGCGAGTGTCAGGCCGACGTGGTCGGTCACCTGAAGTTCACGGAGGGTGGGGGAAGGGTTAAGGTTATGGTGTCTCGGGTTGTGTGTGAGCGTGTGTGTTTCCGCCGCAGACGGGCGAGCGCGATCGATCTCCCCCTCGTGAAATCTCCGCGGCGGTGCCCACGCGAGGGGGCCGCGGGGCTGCCGTGGCCCCGGCGGGCACGGAAGCACCCGGGCCGTGGCCGGAGTGGCGAGCAAGGGCACGCGCGGGCATTCCGCTCCGCAAACATTCCTCTTTTCTTCCCCCTTCCCGGTACGCAAGGAGTCGACGCACTGGGCTCGGGTTGAGCTTTTTTTTTTTTCCCCTTCCTTTAGGGAAAAAAAAATGCCCCCGTGCAGTCCTTTCTTCGCCTGCCCGCTAGAGGTTCTGAGGATAATATCACATATGTAATATATATGCACATAAAATCACTCGCAGGCGGTTGTGTGTGCAGGAAAATTTTGTGCGAGGAGGAGAAGGCGGCGCAGTCGGGGCGAGCGAGGCGGGAGGCTCCGCGCTGCGATTCACAGAAAACTCACAGCAGTTGGTGGAAGTGTGCGTGCACATGGCCGGTCCGGGCGCCCCTCTCCTCGGACGCGCGTGGGCAGGGAGGGGAGGCTGGTGTCCCGGGCGGGCCCCACGGCGGGAGGCTTGCCCTGCTCGCACAAAATGGGCTTCAGTGTTCTCTGCGAACTTGCCCTTAGATGGCAACTTTGGGAGCTGATGAGCTTGTGAGCGAAACCGGGCGGTTAGGTTACTTGGTCATTTTCCTTTCTTTTCTTCTCCCCCTGCTTAAAAAAAAAATGTTGGCGGAGGGTGGGTGGGAGAGGTGAAGGGATTTATCAGTTTCGACTGAGGCTGCTAGACCGCCGCCCCTCCCGTGGTGACCAGAGCAGCCGGGCAGCTGCAGCTTGCCCTGCCGGTGACCTTGACCCTGACCTCCTGGGACTACCCTCAGTCTGGGAGGAAATTCAGGCTCCATTTTAGCTCGGCTGTCTGGTGGGCCTCTCCTGCGGGTTGCTGCCTGTTGATGAAGTTGTCTTTTGAGAGTGGGCTCCTTCCTCATTCTCTTATTGAATGCCATTACCTTCCCACTTTAAAAAGAAATCACCTCTCTCTAGCAGTCACGTTAAGGTACTTTTACCTAAGTCAGAAGCATTTTACTTTTGGAAACACAGCAAACCTGTGTCATCGTATCCCCCCCCCCTTTTTTTTTCCGGGAAGCCTTAATTTGTAAAGCGTTTCCATCACTTTTTGCATTGAATGGATTTTTTTTTTTTTTTTGGTGAATATGTTCTGCCTTTTCTAAGCTGGGGGGGGTGTTACACGTGTTTTATAAGCAATTTACATTTTGACTAAGAGCAGTTTCTGGGCAAATGATGTATTATGCAAGTCAGGCACAGTAACCCAGGTCTTGCTAAGAGCCCAGTGAGGATCCCAGAAATTTGAAAGTGATAGAGAGACATAAGGCATACCAACTTGGGTAAGAGTGAATGTTAGACTCCATCTAGTACAGAATGTCGCTGTCTCTGTCCTGGTTTTCAGTACTGAGCTGTTACTCATGTGTGAGAAAAGTGCCCCTTCCCTGGGAGAACTATGCTGTATCAAGGTTAAAATGCAATTGAGTCTGGAGATTCAAGGTGCCTGGTAGAAGTCCTCTTGGAGTTTTAAGGAGTTATATAGAGGCAGATCTAAAAGTTGGCCCTAAAAAAAAGTGATGTGTCTTGTAGTTGAGGCAAGGAGGTGACTAAATGAAGGAACTGGAGAAATTGAAATTGCTTCTGAAGCCAAAGAGCACTTGAATAAAGGCAGAAGTTACCAAAGCCACTGTTGGTGTGTTGGTTTAAAACTGAAAGCGCACCTGTAAGCACGTGAGAAATATCGCACGCGTGTGTGAGACACACACACGTACACACGCTCTCACACACAACACTTGTGCTGCTAGATGCTTTTCGTTTCTGCCCGCACTCTTTACCTTTGTGGCCCTCGCAGTATGGCTGCAGAGCTGTTGAGCGCCCACCGCGGCCACATACAGATGTTTTCTGTGCGTGGAGTTCAAGCGTGTTGAACAACACTGTCCAGGAACAGCCTGGCCCTGCAAAGCCCACTGCCTTCCCACTGGACAGCGCAGACACTAGGGAACCTGGACGGTCCATCGTAGAGTGGATTAGTCCTGGAAATCCAGGCGAGCACTTGGTATTATCTGATACCAAGTCTGGGGTGAGCCTCGGCTCCTGGCACGGAGTACTAGCAATTCCCCAGGCTGGGCTCTAGCCTGCTAAGGTTTCCTAGTTCCTTCTGTTCAGCTAGACACCCCTGGGACTGTTCAGAACCGAATTAGCTTTGGAGATGGGCGAGCCTTTAACCTGACACTCCTAACCTTAGCCTTGAGTTTCTGGTTTAAAATTCTGTGTAGTCATTTCCTTCTGGGCCTCAAAAGTAAGTGTGTGTGTGTGTGTGTGTGTGTGTGTGTGTGTGTGTATTAGTTTATGTTACATGGGTCTCCATGCATACACAGAAAATGTGGTATATGTCCTATGGAGATGAAGTGTCTACATGTCACAGAGAAGGGCTGTACTAACTTTTGGAAGTACCACCCAGCCAAAATGTTAAGTCTACATTATATTTGAGGGTTACGTTTAAAGATTATTATTCAAAATAAAGGCCTCTGTTTCTTGGTTTAATGCAATAGTTTTCATTTGGGGATCTAAAATGTGACTCCACTGCTGTTGATGGTTTGTTCACAAAAGTTCTTTCATTAATTCAGTTCAGTGCCAGCTCCAAAGGATGGCCCAGAGGCCTTCGAGCTGAACCAAGTGCTCACCTCCATCAGAATCCCAAACAGTGTAACTTAAGAAGCTCTGCCCATCATGAAAGGAAGGGAGGGAAGCTGTGTGGCAGACTGGGACTTCTCAAGCATTCTGTGTGGGATCCTGAAGCTAAGAGGGAGGGACCACGAAGGTCACTCTCGTCCAGTTATTGCATCTGTAGCCCCTTACCGATGGCAACTGGCACTTTAAAATTTCCCCATCAGCCTCAGTTTACCCATACACACAGGTGAGGTGAGACTCTGTCCTATTTACCCTGGGGAGTTGCCCGATTCCTATTCCCTAGGGGGAGCACGAAGAAAAAGTTAGTGAAACAGTTGTTTTATTATTCCAGTATTTTCACTGTTTACTCAGTCGTGGATCAAGATCAGTACAGGTTGCTGTGTTCTCCTTTAACAAACACTGCTCTCTAGTAAAACTGGGAAGCAGAATGACTGGGAAGCAACTGGATCCTTTGTTTTTATGCTTCTATGAGTCAGTTTCTCTCTGTCTCTGTGTGGTGTGGGGGGGGGACAAAGGAAAGGAACTTAACTCGGCTTTTATTTCTTACTGATTTTTGCAGTGACCAGGCACTATGACCTGACTAACCCATGGGGAACCCTTTCAGTCCGAAGTAGCAGAGTATTTTACAGCTCTTGTCGGACAGGTCTAATGACTCTGA